AGAATCATAATGACTCCATTAAAACCTTAATGGCTCCATTAATGTGATATCTGTCTTTTAAATGGGCTCAAACAGAGGTTTATTCATGCGGGCACACTATCAAACTACACACATGCAGGTTACACACACACATTGCAAAATATATATATATAATAATAATAATAATAAATAATAAAATAAAAATAATTGGTAGACCATTTTTGCAATCTAAAACTATATAGGCCTACCACTCACTGCTTTATTCTATTATTTTTATTGTATTGTAAAATCAGTTTTTCAAAGCAGTCCCCTGATCTTTTTTTAGTCGTTTTTATAACTTTAATGATCATCACAGTCTGGAGTCTTTATGTTACTGAGTCATTCACATTAGTGAGTCAGAATTTCATTTGCCATCCTGTGTGTTCTGTACAGGACAACAGCGACCCCCAGTCTGAGCGCTATGAGAAACGATATAAAGATATCGATTATGACAGTTTCATCGGCCTAATGGGCAGGAGGAGCGCAGGTGAGATGATATGAATGATGAAATTAGCATTTAATAGTATTAAAAATGCACAAGATTGGGAAATAATAAAAAAAATGTCATCATTTACTCACCTCCATGTTGTTCTGCAGAAAAATATCATCAAGGTTTGAAACAATATGAGGATGAGTAAAAGACAGAATTGAGAACTATTTCTTCAAGGTCAAGGTTATTTTATGTTCATTGTTCATTTGTATTTCACAGGGACAAATCGTGACACAAATTCACCATTTAGACGTAAGTTACAATTTTCTACATTAACATATACTTTAGGCTAATGTAATACACCTTTTAATACACCTTGTAATACACCAATTATTAATTAAAGTAACATCAGAGCTTGATGAGATTTTTCTCTTTGGTCCTTTGTAGCTAATATGAATGACATCTTTGTTGGACTGTTAGGACGTAGAAACACTGTGTCTGGTAAGTCTGTGATAGGAGATGTAAATGGTGATCAATATGTTTTAGTCAAAAGAGTAAACGGGGAATAAGAAATTGCATTAAATTGAGGTTAATTTATAATTAATCGTCTATATTTATGTCACTTATAGGCAAGCAAACCGATATACCACGTTTGTAACAGCTGAAATTTGCACAGTGCAGAATGAGTGACAGACAGAATATAGCAGCGAATACACTGACCTCTAGTGGGCACTGTGGAGAATTGTAAGAAATGAATATTCTTAAAGGGGTAGTTGACTGGTTTTTTTATAGGCTTGATTGTGTTTATGGGGTGCAGTCTAACATGTGTTAATGCTTAGTTTGTTAAAAAACGCATTATTTTTCACATAATTTACCTTTATTCCACACCTCTCTGTCCCTTCTCCTCTGAACGCACTGATAATTTCCTGCTTTTATGAAGCCCCTCTCTCAGAAATACACGATGGGCTCTGATTGATTAGCTGGCCCAGTGTGTTGTGATTGGCTAAACCGCCTCTAGCGCGCGTCTAAATGTCCTGCCCCTCAACATAGCGGCATGTGCTCCGGTTGTATTGTAAACAATGACGTGGTCTATAGTGCTTATCAATTTGAGCCCGATTGAGATGCAGAGGATATTATTGACGAGGATCGTGCAGAACCTGTGCAAGCACGGCTTTTAATGGTAGGCCTAAGATTTTTGTTTGTTGTTGTCTCATACTTTTAGATACGCTGTTATTTGTAAATGCTACTGTTTCTGTTAGCTTTTAATACACGGTTTTATTCTGACTAAAGCTTTAATACAGTTCGGCAACCACATGGGCGTCCATGTATAACGCTTCTCATAACTATAGTATGTGAAAATAAGTGTATTCACTGAGCTGATGATCTGAATGAGAGAGAGAGAGAGAAAGAGATTAAAGACCCTGTGCAGAGCAGGGCGAGGCCAGGAACAGGATGAGAACGCTGCTTTAGAACATTGATTTTGAAACTTGTGAATCCATTAGAATTGTTAGAAGACAGAATCGCGATTCATATATGAATAGATTTTTACATGCACCTCTAGTTTTCTCTTCCTCTTCGCTAAAGCAGCGCAGCATGGCCTCACCCCCTTTGCTGCTTGTTCACGGAGGCGGGGTTTATGTAAAATTCTGGGTTCTTGACGTAACGGACACCACCCCTTTAAAAAACTAGCCTTGCATTGTTTGTTTGTTTTTGACTATCAGCTATTCCTGCTTGGAGAGGAGAGAGAAGAGGCAACATTTCTTAAAAGACAGAAGGCTGAGGTGAGAATTTATTTAGCTCAAGTTCAAATGAAATTCAGTTTAGCTTGAGTTCAAATGAATGGTCATTCTTTTTCAGAAATTTCGGCATAATTTCATTGACTGTATTTTTTTCCATGAAGGTTTTGCTGTGGTGTATGAAGCCTGATCTCTTCTGTCCCGAACTAATTCCGAAGAAAAAATCTGTCTTTTTAAGATAACTGAGCTGTATGAGTTTTAGTTTATTGTCAGTGTTCATTGTAGTACTTTTTTTTTTTTTTAATGTAGGATAAGAATTCTTACATTTATGCCATTAAGATTTCTGAGTACAGAAAGCACCAAACTCAAATCAGATAAAGGATGGTTTGACATATTTATTTAGATTTCAGGAATGACAATAATCCTGGGATGAAAAGACTAGAATATGAAGAATATGTAAGCCACATGTTGTAAATGTTCTTGCTCATACCTTAATTCTAACATATGCTTATTTAAAGTGATGTAAAAATATTATTTTATTTATTTATTTATTAATAGAATAGACCACATAAAAACAGTTTACTGTAAAATAAGTCTTTATTTAATATGCTGGTTATTATTCCTCATTGAATTATTCTTGTCACACATTTGCCTCACACACTCTTTTATAAATAAAAGACTGCTGTGGAAGTACTTCACAGGATTCCCTTTGTACATAAAAGAAGAAAAAAAGAATAATAAAGGAACACGTATACCTTTAGATTAAAGACAAGGGCATGAAATGCATGAATTCAGAAATGCAGATTCACTTTAACAGGATTGGAAAGGACTGGTTTTGATGTTCGCAATATGAATGATTCTGCTTCATTTCTGACAAGTTGGGTTCCCATTTCTATGGGTCTTCTTAGTCACTGCAATTTCCCCAAACACTTTGCTCAAACAATGCAATGTCTTCAAAACTCAAGAAAACTCTACTCCTCTTAAGATTTGCATGTCTTTGTCTCTGTTGAGGATCTGAAATATGCAAACTAAAGTCAACTCACAAATTAAACTTCGTAAAAGGAATGTTTACAAAGGAAATTTAGCCAAAGGGCTTTTCTAAGGAAGATCATCAAAATACTAGCAAAGTATGAGCACATTCAAACATTTCTCAGCTAACTTCTCTTTGATATAATGGAAATTTACAACAACAAAAAAAACCTATTAGATCATACTTAAAGTGGGTGGCACAAACTCAAAAGTGCTTTTTCTCTTTGATTCAACAGAGCAGCACAGAATACTGCAAGCATTTCCATTACTCTAGCACTTTCACAGAGATTTTCTGTATTCACACCATCCATGTATTACTGAAGACTCATTGATAAATAAATCAATCACGTTTAGTCAAAAACCCATAACCATTCCATTAACAATTTCAAGATGTACACAGAATTTGATTAGGTACTAGAATAAGTATAATTTTTACTAATAATAATGTCACAACATCTGTATGAATTTGTATTTGCTTTTTAGATTGAATCACTTCGAAACCATTCAGTTCTACAATAAATGCAAAAGTGGCATTGTGCTTGGAGTGGTCAAATGACAACAGTGGTTTATATTAAAATAAAACTAATTTCCAGTTCAAATAAGTTTATTCATTCAAATAAACTTTATTTGAAATCCTTCATAATTGTGCCAAGTGTCATACTATATAGTGCGCAGTCAAAATGCTTGTAAGTGCTGGAAAGAAGATTCTCTGATGGAAAGTTTGAGCACTGCCTGCACTTCTGCCTCTGCTGTAACTCCCAGCATGATCTCAAATCCTACCATACTAGAATAAAAAAGTGATTCTGAATAATACACATTAAGTGTGCATTATTTTAAAAGGGTCATTTCTGAAAGCCTACCAACGCCAGCACATTTAAAGGGACAGTTCATCCAAAAAAAGAAAACCTTTACTTGTTTGACAGAAGAAATGATGTCAGGTTTGGAATGACATGAGGGTGAGTTAATGATGACAGTTTTCTTTTTTGACTACCCCCTTTAAGTACAGCAAATACACACAAATAATTGAGCAACTGAGACAAAAAGCACACATCACAAGCGACTGAATCAACTGCACAACTCTGGACAAGTGGCTACATCAATTGCAAAATCAACACCTACTTGATTTAATCTTGCACAGAATGCTGTAGAAGTTGCCACACTGGCGATGTGAACTGAAGCAAAACCTGACATTCAATTCTAGATAAACAAAAACCTTCACAGTCACACTCGTCAATTAAATGACTTGAATGACAAAAAAAAAAGCATTATGTGGTCTGAAAAATCCAGTAATTCACAAGCCGCTTTGCTTCACAGCACGTTTCACTATGCCACTACAAACCGCAATTCCCATTAGAATGGGGGGGAAAAAAAACAGTGCAGGCTTACACCATCTTATCTACCTTGCTACCTTTACTTCTTTCCCAGGCACTCTATTGGGCCAGCCAACAGGATCTTACTAATCCGTATTCCTGCAACTTTCTTAATGGGGTAGTTCAGACAAAAATTAAAATTTTGTCATCCTCTACTCATGTTGTTTCAATCCTGTATGAATTTATTTTTTCTGTTGAACACAAAAGAAGATATTTTGAAGAATGTGTGCAACCAATTACTAGTAGCCATTGACTTCCATAGTATTTATTTTCCATACTTTGTAAGTCAATGGCTACCAGCAACTGTTTGGTAACCCGCATTCTTCAAAATATCTTTTTTGGTGCTCAATAGAAGAAAGAAAGTCATACAAGTTTGGAAGAACTTGAGGATGAGTAAATGATGACAATTTTCATTTTTGGTTGAACTATCCCTTTAACTCTCAGAGAAGGGTAATATGCTGTTTTGGTGTCATTTGAAGGACTGCATCCTGGTTAATTTTTCTATGGATGTAATCTTAGTCAAAGTAAACTGTACACGTTCAACTTTGGCAAAGGTATTGTAGACTGTATAAAAACACAGATGGAGCTTGAATGTTTGCTCAACTAGGATCTACGATATAAGCAGCTCGGTTTAATTATTGCCTAAACTCAATACAAATGTGGTCCAGGGACATATGGAAGTGGATGATTTTTCTGGATCAGAGCAGAGGCACTAATTCAATGGAATGAGCAAATTAAAGGAAAATCAAGGCCTCTTTTACTTATGGCACTGCCGTTAAATCATACATGGTGGTGTGCTTATGATTACGCAGTGCAGAGCAAACATGCAATTGCTATTTTTATATATATATATAGGAAAAAAAAAAATAGAACTGAATGCCAAGAATAATGTATGCAGATGCAGCCTTGCTTGTGGCCCCAAAATATTATCCAATGTTATTATACTGTTAAGGCAGACTCCTACACTCATAACCTTCATTTCATACGATTCCGCACTGTCATATATATTTAAACATTGACATACAAATGCATTATTGAGAGGAACAGACTCTCAAACTGTAGCAGTTCATTAAATCACACAAACATGTCATGCACACATTTCTGTGGCACAATATAGAAGACATTATCCAAAAAATGTAAAGCCACCCCAAAAACAGTTCTTTTGGAAGAAGATTTTAAGTGTTATTTTTTAAAATTCCTATGCAAAAAGCTGCTATAACTTTTCATTAAGTTCGGGGGATTTCTTTTCTCCTTCCTGTTGTTCTACCCCCAGCTTTTCCTCTATGTCTCCGGTTTCCACTTTGTCTGGGGCTGGGGCATTGAAGTCTTGTATGACATTGGGTTCAGGGGGCTGATAGCGGTATTTGTAGCCAAAGGCACGCAAGTGGTAAGTGTAGTATTCCAGCAGGTACATGTGTGACGGATCCACATAGTGGAAAGAAACGGCCAGGTCTGAGCAACACTGTGGGCCCTGAGAGAAACAGAGAGAAAGATTATATAATTATATGAATAAGAATGAAGAAAGATCCTGTAATTGCGTACTCGCCATGTTGTTCCAAACCCACATGTCTTACTTTTCGTTTTAATAATTTACTGATCACTCTTTTTTAGGCAGTTCCAATGAAAGTGGACTGCATCTTTTAATATTAATTAAAGCACCATAGAGTTATAATATATCATATAGACTGATTATACTACATCGAATCACACTGATTAGGTTTTGGCTCAAGGATACAGTTGCAACAGTTAACAGCTAACAGGAAGATTTTTAGTGAAAAATTACATATTTAAATCAGTTCCTGACTCCAACTCAGAAGACTTGGAATATAAATCACCATTCAAATCAACTAATCTTTTTGTGTTCCAGAGGGGGGAAAAAAAATCATACAGGTTTGAATGTTTGAATTTCAAAACAAGGATTAGTATTGCAAATAATGACAGAAGTTTCTCTATTTTTTAAAACTCTTAGCTATAACCTAGTCTTGTTTTTAATATCACCAGGCAACAGTGCTTAAAGTAATTGGTGCCTACACTGATGCACTGAGTAGAATTTGATTTGTGCCAAAACAAACTTGTGTTCACTTGGGCCAGTGACACAGGGATTAATGGCTTTTGACTTTGACTTGTCATTTATTTGAATAGGATATAAAGGGCGAGATTCACATCTTCAGGGTGCACTAAATGCAAACAGAGTGAAGACTGATTTTTACCTTTGCAAATACGCAAATATCTTGACTGTCTACACATGTAGCATCAGTGTTTCCCATACATTGATTTATTTGTGGCGGCCTGCCACAGTATCAACACTGACCGCCACAAATAGATTTTCCAAATGGCTTTGACTTCGTTGAATAAACACGCCGCACGGGTGTTTTTATATAAATGTATCTTTTTTTGAAGGGAACCGATTGTCTTCAGTAAAATTTTGATGTAATTTTCATTTAATCTTTCCTATAATGCCTGATAAGGAAACTTTATGAGCACAGTTCTGCTTTGATTACAGCCGTTACCGGGGAAACCGCTATTTTTGCTGCTCCAAAAGCACCTCCTCCTGGCAGAGAATGAATTTGCACTTTCAATAAGCCCATCTGTCATTTTATATTTACATTATATACATATATATTTCCCCCAGGGGAAGTGCCGCCACAAATAGAGTGTAAGTCTATGGGAAACACTATAGCATTCTTAACAGATTATTGAAAAAGAAAAAAAATGTAGGGCGGGGACTTGGTTCAATACATCAGTTGTTGAATGGATGAAGGCAGATTTGAATACAAAATTGCAGCTGATTGTAAAAAGGGGTGGGGATTAAGCTGGCAAAATGCTTGGAGAAGTCCAGCATAGGTCACCAGAGAGAAGCCTTGTCATTTCACTGGAAGATCAAGTTCTGATAATTTAATTAAAAATAAAAATGAGGCAAAAACCGTATGCATGGATAAACTGAGATACACTACACTCCAAGCAAAAAAAAAAAAAACTATCGATGATGGAGGTTTGGTAGCCTATGATGCTAACTGAATTCGGACTCACCTGCACAATGGGGTAATAACAGTAGTTCCAATACCAGAAGGTCTTAGAAACTGTGCCAGTGAGATGGGACTCTGGTACGAAAGGATGGAATGTCTCTCTTTGTAAGGTGTCTCTGGAGTCTCCTGCCACAACGCCAACCTTCTCCATACACTGACCTAGAGCTAGGTCCTCCACTGAGCTAGTGTGAGTGCACACTTTGGTGCGAAAGCCTTCCACAAACCTCCTCAGGGCCTCTTTGCTTAGCACGTAACCTGCGCCACCACTCATGTAGCCCTGTTTTACGTATGGCTTAAACCGTCTGCCAAAATACACCGGGTCCTCTGGAGAGTGGCTGGCCAGAATCCAGCGCAGGTTGTCGACGATCACGTAAGTGTCGTCATCCGCTTTAAGAAACCAGTCTGCCTCGTCCCCGTGCTTGTCCATGACATAGTGGAAAGCACGAATGGTTTTCCAGTACAGCTGATCCCGACCTTCCTTGGTGTTTAAGCCGACCGTGGGAAAATCAGGGTCGTCCACAGAGCTTATGAAGACCACAATGTTGCAGTGGCGACTCCATGTGGCTTTCACATGCCGAGCTTTCTTCTCAAGGTTATTAGGGCCGGTCATGACCCAACACAAAATGCGTACATGCTTATAGAGAGTGTCAGCCAGTGTGCCATCCTCACCTACAAGAGACAAACCGTGATTATTCTGAAAAATAAATGATACAGACCAAAAATCACATGCTACCATTTAGACAAGAATATTTTGAATGTGCATAATCGTAGTGAACTTTTTTATTATGAGAATAAGCATTTATTTATCAAACTGCAGAAACTTTTAAAGTGATAGTTCACTCAAAAATGAAAATTCTCTCATCATTTTGTCAACCTAATGTCATTCCAAAGCCATAAGACTTTGATTCTTCTTTTGGAACACAAATTAAGTTTTTTTTTTTTATCTTCTCTTTTTTTTTTGTTGCGCAGACTTTCAGTGGAGGGACAGAAATCCCTTAGGTTTCATTAAAAATATCTTCATTTGTGTTTCGAAGATGAGGAATGACATGAGGGTGAGTAAATGATGACAGAATTTTAATTTTTGGCAGAATTGATGCTTTAAAATGAACTAATCAAATCCAAAAGGCTTTTAAAAATGTTGATAAACACGTAAGAAATTGTTTTCTATGAAGCATAGAATACTACTATCTGTTTAAATTTATGTCAAATACGTATTCAGAGAATTTAGAGCCAGCATATGGTAGTCCACAGTTTATTACTTTTGGGGTAGTTTATTGATAACCAGCTGGCGATAAAACCTTTCTGTAAACTTTAACAAGGACAACACATTAGATGCGAGCCCAAAATCAAAAGCAAAGTCCATCTCTTCAGAGAGTATACACAGTCAGACACAAACATGCCCATAAAGAGTTTCTCACAGAGTACACAAAACGACTGCGTTCACATTCAAATGGAACATGTTAACTGTTTCTTCAATTGTAACATCAGGGTGTGATGTTATATCCACAATTAATACCAATAATAGGGTGTAATATACTGAAGTACTGTATACATAATCTAGCTCTAACTGTCTAACACACCTCTTTTGGGAATGCCTTTATTTTTGGTATTACAGTAATTGACAGATTCACTTGTTCTTTGTGGATCATAAGACCTGACAAACAACTTCTTTCTAAAAAACTGAGCATTATTGTCTGTAACAGGCAATTAACAAGGCTATCATTACCATATTATGGCTTCCAACAAAACAATGCAAAACAAGTTGAACAACTTGTACAGGTGAAATAACAAGAGCACACGTAATGTTTTTATTTTAATTGCCATTTAAGTTATCCCAGCCAGATATTTCTGATTCTGCCATCATTTACTCACCTCATGTTGTTCCAAACCTGTATGACTTGATTTCCTACTATTCTCTTTCACTGAATCTGTTTTGCCATTTAACATATCTTCTTTCAGGTTCCACATAAGACACATAAGTCATAAAGGTTCATTAGTTTCTTCATTGTATCTACCTGTATGGTGAGGATGATTGAGGTTGAAGAGAGCCGACCTCTCCTTCTTCCAGTTCTTGTTTTCTTCTTCAACCATCTCCAGCAGACTTTTCTCGTGGGCCTCGGACTCACCAGACCCCAAGTCCCGTGTGAATCCAACCTGACGCAGGAGCACGTACAGGGTGCACGTGCCTACCACAAAGCCCACGTAAAACGCGGAGCGCGCACCGAGAGCTTTCATCACGAGCTCTATGTGAAGAGACTCTCACCTCAGAGGGACTATTTAGAACACAGACAGAAACACAAAAAGACTAACTACACCAAGCAGAGGATGGCGCAGTGTTCATCAGCCTATCATTAGGTTATGTTCAAGATTCAGATCACATTAAAAGAAAAAAATCGAAAATGAGGCCGATGTTAGGCGCGTACAGTCTGCGTGACATCAGCTCTGTGATCTTTATGACTGATTATGACAGCATGCGTCATCATACCAGGATACAACTAATATGACAGCTAACGTCTACACAGGAAATGTATGCTGAATTTAATTATTTGCTTAGGAAAATGAATTGAAGTGTACACAACACTATCAGGCGTCATGTAACTAGCGTTAATCAAATAATTAATTAGTCTTCAAATAATTAATTAGACGGTAAAATATTGAAGGGGGTCAACTAAGGGGTTGGCTAGCAAACTTGTAATGGGGGCACAAGATAACACATTTTAAGTAAAGATAACACAACAGTTTAAAATAACAAACTAAGTAAATTATATTAAACTAAAATGTTAAGACGTCATACACCATCGATACTGACATCATCAACGGTTGCCTTTGTTATTATCGAAGAACATACAACTTCTGTATCACAAAATTAATGTAAGGTTTTTTAATCTATAAAGACTTTTTTTCTATTTCTGATAACAAGAAAGTTTCAAAACAAGCAGCTTTGTCATGATTACAGCAGAAGTACCAGAGGAAATGTTTTATTGTTTTATCTATTTTATGTAAATTAACAAGGTGTCGCAATCTTACCAGACAGATTATTTCCTCCATAACTGAAGTGAGAAAAACGGCAGGATTCGGCTCCGAGGCCATTTCAGCCCAACTCAGAGAGCTAGCATAACAGTTAAGCTGTGGTTTCCAATTTAAACACGAAATCTGACAGCCTAATCGGGTAACTCGGCTTCAAAATCATGTCCTGGCTATTTTCTGCCTCATGCAAATTTGGGTTGGTGGATAATTTTAGATTTCACTTAAAGCTAACTCTTCATATGTTAACTGAATGCTGTTCACCAAGTAAAAGCCGAGAGGTACGGGGGCGGTTCAGTTCCGTATTATAATTAGCCGACCCTATTCAGAGATCCTCCCTGTCAGTCTTTGTTTCGTGGACAGTGACACACACCCATCCCACTAAGTTAAGTCGCCTTTATTTCAGAAAAGAAAGAAAATCTTTTCGACCATTCTCGAAACGCTTGAGCAAATGTCAACTGTTCGCGTCACAACTAACACAAGACACACGGAGGCGCATTTGATTGGATAGATTGACTGTCAATCTTAAAATAAACGATTATGTCATTTGAACGTCGGGTTATGATTGGACCACATGTATCCAATCGTGGAACAATTTACAGCAAGCGAAGGGAGCCAAAAGATTCATGTCGAGAGAAGTTGTAAAGATTCTTGTGTTCGCCGCAGGCACGTGCAAAAGGGGGGGCTTTGTACGGTGGCCGAGAAGTGCAAAGCAAATCACAATTCTGAAAACAAAATAACAAATTACAAACGCAAATGCAAGTCTAAAATACAAAATAACAATTCAGAAAACACAACAACAATTCAGAAAACATTATAACAAGTCAGAAAACACAA